CCGCTCCGTCCCCAACTGTGACACACTTTATGAACCTGGAGGCACTCATTTCCTCCCAACTCTGTCCCTTCCTTCTTCAACTTATGCTTCTACAAAAACCCTAATTCAGATTATAGCAGAGGTTTCTTAACCCCCACCACAACCCAGTTTAGTTGAGATACACAGAAAGAGAGAGAGAGGAGAAAAAAGAGAGAGATTTGGGAAGGCAAAGATGAAGGGTGCTGGGCCTAAAGAGCCAGCTCTTGCCAGCTATAATAATAGTATGATATTAATGTGTTACTGTGTACCTCAAAGACTCAATCCCAGGCCCCATTTCAAGTTTTCAACCTTTCTTTCTATCTCAGTAAACTCCACCAACCAAAACAACCAATTTGTCCTCTTGGGCATTCTTTTATATTTCAAAATATCCAAAAGAAAATCACAAGATCACAGGCATTTGTCTTTTATTTTATGTTTTTTTACTGTCATTGACTCATTGGGAAGAAGTTTACTTATTGGGGAAACAAAGGAATATTAGGCTATTAATTTGGTGACATGTAGTTATGAAGGCTGAACCTGATTTATTCTGTGTTTCTTATTGTGGGGGTGTCAATTGTCAAACGAGTTTGCATGTGGTGTGGGGTTGTGAAACATAAAAGCTCTCTCTGTTCAGTGCTGCATTCCTAAATTGGCAATTCCCCTTCTTCCATTTCTCTGTTTCTTTTCCTTTTCTGCTTTTCAAGAATATGTCAAAATAATTTTATATTCTCAACCATATATGTAGAGAACATCTAGCATTTGATTTTGTGGCAGTTGTTTTATCAGTTAAAGGATGTTTCAAGTTCGAACTCACACAAATACGATAATAATTATGTGTTCAATATCTAGTCGTGATTTGCTGTTTACTATATTCAAAAGTCAACCAACGTTTTACTTTTAGCTAAGCTAAGTGCATTTTGGGTGTTACTGCAGCTTCCATTGGGACCTAAATTCTATAATATTGTACAAATAAAAAACTTAGAAATGCTCAATGCCTTTGTTTTCAAACTTGAACTTGGTAGTTAACCTAATAGATTAAATAAATCATAGTTTGATTGATGCATCATTTTAGGCACGCATTACAGCCCCGCGAAACAGCACCAAAAACTGATACAAAGTGTGAGATTGGTTACATAATTAAAGAAGATGAATAAGATGGATGTGAATGCCTGAGAAATGAGTGCATGTGTTCAAATTTCGTTTCAATGGTGAAACCCAAGTTCGATCAAAACGAAAACTAAAAAAATATGGCCAGTTAAAACCCATATTAGGGTAGATGCTGACAAGTTTTATGGCTGAATTTGCAATGTTAAATTTTCTTTTGAACATTTTGCTTTCTTCTGAAGCAAATCAATGGAAAATCATAATATGGGGTCCTAGGGTTCCTTCGCTTTCAAGCTTACCCGACATAATGTGTATTATGGACCAAAAAGAGAAAAATAAAACCAAGTAGAAGGTTAAAAAAAGGGACTTGACTAGTTGACTTGGTTAGGATGGTCCTTGGCTTGGCTTTCAGTTTATTGACCCATCATGCTACTCTGCAACCACGCAATTCTTTAAATAAAAATGGAGGTGGTTGAACCGTTAATGGCCAGTCCACCCACCACATCTTACTTATTGGAAGACAAATTATAAGATATATAAATATATAGATTTTCTCCTGTGCTGACGCTGAACATTATTATTATGCGGACACTAAATATTTTCTTTATGTTTATAATGACGTTCGTACGGTAATAATGTCAGGAGGTTACGGGAGAAGAAGCATAATTTAATAAAAATTAATAAAATATATATAGCATAGTTTTAGGAGGAAAAAAAAAATGAGATCAGAATATTTTGGTTGTGGTGCAGTCTATTAGTTGCAGGCCCTGTCATGGCATCTCATAGATTAAAAGCTAATTTTGAGAAGGAATTAACACAACGTGGGGGGAGGGTTAAGAAGTAGATGATCATTCTTTATCAATGGTGTAATTAATTAATAAAATTAAAATGCATGTTCAAGGGTGGGCATTTTCCATGATTTGAATTTTGAAAACTTGAAGGAGGATTGATCACCTGCTACACAATAAACTAATTTGCTTTCTTTCAAAGTTTTGTTTTGTAGTTAGTTGGTTCTGTCTCTAATTTGTCTATGTTATTCTGTTTGTTGTTTTGGTATGTATTTTCAAAATCAAGGCACATTCAAGCATACTTGTTAGGTCAAATCTTGGAATTTAAAGGAAAAAAGAAAAAAGAAATCTTTGCCAAACCCTTTGGTTTCAGTCTCTATCAATTTAAGTGAAGGAAGATGTTGTCTTTATTGATAATCTTTAGGAAAAAGGAGAAAGAATCTTTGCTAAATGTACTTTAAAAATAAAAACTCCGGAAAATCCCAATTACCTAATTATTTATGCCTACAAAATTAATGTGGGAAATCAATACAAAATTGAGTAGCACATGGGGAGATCTACTCCATAAGTTCATGTGCATGAATGACCATCCCTCCAACTCCTATCAAATCAACATCTTTACATCTGGCTCATTGTCAAGATACCTTGGTCCCCTACCCATAATTAAGACAATAATCAATTTTATATAACTTGATTGTGTACTTTTTTGTAAAAAATAAATACAAGTGAAAGTTTAAATTATAAACAAAAGGCGGGTTTCTCACACATACTATTAAGGTGTCATGAGAATTTAAATATGAAATCATTAGTCTATAAGTTAAAATCCTTTTTTTAACTGAACACATAATTAATGTTCCAGTTTTCTAGCATGTGCTGACTAAAGCTTGGCTCATAGCTCTAACAATAGAGATTGATAGTCAAACAACGTGCTTGAATTGTGACCCTTATGACATTTAATATGTGAGAAATGATTGTGATGTATAAGAATTTTTTTTAAAAAAACAAACAATAAAAGAATCGAACATAGGACATCAAACGGGTTTAGGGTTAATACTTTTTATCATTTAGTCTCGATTATATACGACTTTGTAGAATATGAAACTACAAATCTGGCATCAATAATATGCACTGCCCAAGCCAACACCCGTGACACAAAAGGTCGCTGTAACTAAAGATAAAATCATAAAACCAGACAAACTCTTACAAAGCAATGGATTGAGCACTCAAAGATGAGTCAGATAACTGCTGCTACTAAAAATTGAGAAACCCTGGCAACAAGCTTGTCACAAGTTCAAGTCAAAACAAAAACAAATCATTAAGAAAAAGGAAAAAAAAGAAACGTACAACAGAAGCATTTCATTCCTTTCTAAAAGTTTTCAAAACTTGGGATGAAAATTTGAAAGCAAATTCATTGACTATTTCTTTTCCACCTATCTAACTAATAAGAAGAATCAGTTCTGGTTGGAAAAATGAATAAATAGAACAATTCCCTCATTAATGTTACACTAAAAAACAAAAAAGAAATGTCAGCTCACAACCTTTACAATTTTAAAGCAATTAAAAAAGTGAACGGGTCCAAAATGTATTGGCTTACAAAATTTTGGTTCACATTGACTGCTTCCAAGGCTCAGAATCCTTCATCCGAGCTTATATACTCTAATTCAATCATCTTTCCCACGCCCTCCTTTGTTTTGTCTATCAAAATTTTCTCCTTTCCAGTTTTCATTCTTTTTGAATCCATTTGTTGGTTTTTTATGACTGCAGATGGATCCATGCTTATACTATATGGTTTCCTGAGGAACAATAAACAAATCTTCAGTAACAAGGAAAAGAACAAGTTACATTGTACAAATAAAAATATTGTAAAATAATCTTATATATGAATCACCTCTTCTCTAAACTGGAGATCGGTTTGCTTTGCATTTTTGAAGCTTTAATCGCATCTTTCGGATCTGTCTTCCCTGCATTGCAAAGGTATCTAATGAGGAAATTGCACACAACACTGCCAGCAAGAGCATAGAGGGATCATACACTTAACCTGTCATCTCAGCCAAAAACCTTATTCCTTGTGAGTGTGTATTTGTAGTCACTT